ATAAGCTTTTTGTATAATAAGGTCTATGTTATAATACAATCGTACTGTTTTCAAAGAATATATAAGAAACAATACTGGCACTTTATTATTTTATAAAAATAATATTCAATTTATGGAGTACATTTCTGTATTTTTATTCTCCAGTGTTGTACAATATATAAAACATGCTTTACTTTGATATGGGTCATGTGTTCTCTGAGTTGGTTTTATTGCTTGAATTATATTGTTGTTGTTTTTAACACAAAACTGTTGTAGGATTCAAAACAACGCTACAAGTATTTGTGTATGTTAACCTTTGAGTGCTATTCCAAAAGTCACAGAATATTTTTTTTTTCTCTCTGGAATTTATGAAAAATTATGGTGTTGCTATACAATATTTATATTTATAATCTCCCAATATTTTCTCTTATTTTGACGCTAGTAGACACAAGTGATTGTCGTATAAATATGAATTTTTGTATAAATTCTCGTCTATGGTGCAGAATGATGCTACGTACTCTAGCGGTAATGATTCGTGTCTGCTGATATCAACCTAAGAGAAAATATCATGGGGTATATGTATTTAAAAAGTTGAAAGATGATGTGGGTGAAAGTGTAACTTCTACTGAAATTACATCTACGTGCCATGGCTGAATGCCTCCTTTTTTAATACATGTAGACTTGAGTTGAGAGGGAAGCTATTTTGAATGCCAATATTCATCAAGTTGCTTTTAGTGTATAAAAGGAATTATTTTACTGAATATCTGAATGTAGTTTTTCAAAAGGCCCCAAAACTAACTTGTTGGACATTAAGGCAACTGCTTTTGATGCGTCCATGAAGTTGAAACCCTGTACATGTTATATCAGGTCTCGAAATTAACAATACATCCTAAGGTGCATAGTCTACCAAATTTTATCCTGGGGCTACCATTTTAAAAAAATTTATAGCTCAACCGGACTACTAGAAATTCACAGAATATTAGTACTATGTTTTGTCTACACAAATTGAGAAAATTGATTTATTCTGTTAATGCTTTTAAGCATGTCTGTAAGTACTGCTAAACATGATGGATTAAAAATATAATACGGTACCATGTGATTAACAGCTTTTGAACTCAGCCTTCCACATTTTTTTTTTTTTTAATTTCAAGCCCTGTGTTACATATTTGGTAGTCTGTGCATATTTATTCATCAGATCTGATCACAACACGTTGAAATTATTTATTAATAATTACTTTATTTCATCCGTGAAAATACAACATTTTTTACTCCTGTGTGCAAAGCACACAATGGAAGTCTTTGTTGTTTGTGTGTCTGTGTGTGTGTCTGTGTGTATATGAATATCTATTCCGTGGATATCTCAAAAATCGCTGGTAAAATTTCAATGAAGCTTAATATATGCACATAGGTTCTCTGGGACAATGTGCAGACCTAATTACTTTAATCACCTATTTTGTATAATAATTAGTCATTTTTTGAGGGGCTTTTTACTCATATTTCATGTAGTACGGTACTATTCACTAATCATCACATTTGAATGAAACTTGTTTATATAGATGCTCTAGGTCAATGCACAGACCTGATCAGCTTGAAGTTAAAATTCATGCATATTAATTAGCTAATTTGCATAATCAATTTTCAGTTTTTCTACCAATATCTCAAGTATTAATCATCACAATCCATTGAAATTTGGTACATGGGTTGGGCTACCAATTTTCAAAAAATGGTAGTGATATAACAATTGTTAGATCTTGGGTGGTTATCCCACTCTGCTGCTATCAATTTTGAGCCACCACTATGTATAATGCATGTACATGGATATTTGGTTTGTGGGGAAAGTGATTGTTTAACATGTGTTTTATTTTTTCTCATCAACAGGACATGTCTGGTCATTTAGACCATATCACATCAGGTGATCACAGTGGGGTAAGATTAATTTATGTTCTTAGCAAGATTTGATTGGAATATATGTTATCACATACAATGTCAAATTACTTTTTCATTTCAAAATATTCTTCATTATTAGACCCCATCTATTTATGTTTTTGAAATTATACTCCCGAGTACACTCAATAATGGCCCTAAGAATCGCTATGTAACTACGTGGTCGGCGCAGAATTTTATGTCATCACTACTTGGCTGTCTCCATGACTTCAGTACATTACCATGGAAATTCGCTTGTGATGACTGACCCAAACATCTAATCTATTATTCATACATTGTTTCAAAATCTTACGATCAAAGACAACATCTAGTCTACTTCCATGTTGGAGGTACATGTAAAGTTGATAATTTATCCTGTATTTGCCTGCTGACAATTGCACGCCAATATTTCTTTATTAATTTTTGAAAGTGAGGGAAACTTTGGAAATGTTGGTTCAATAGCACTACTATCAGAAAAGGGTGGGCTGGATGTACTGTAAAGAGGTTAATTATTCACTGGGTTTTGATTTTGCTCATTTCGCTGACTGGAAAATGAGCTAAATTAAAACCCAGTGAATATGTACAATTTAGCATAGAACACATTATTATCTAAATGTTAAAACCGTGAATTTAAAACCCACTGATATGCCTGAAATGGTAAATCAGCGAAATTTAAACCCAGTGAGAATTACTCATTTTACAGTACATGTACTACTAAGCCCTTGAATTACAGTTTGTTTTTTCAGTTAGCAAGCATACCATAGTTTATGTTTCTACTATCTAGAGTAAAGAATACAAATCTGTGTTTATATTTATTAGTTATTTTTATTCGATTGATTACACAGAATGAGGTCAATAAAACTCATTATTGGTTCAGATATAATAATGAAAATCCAATGGCGTCATGCGCAGATGTTTACAATAAAAAGACGTCTATAACAGACTTCAACATTTGATTTATGTTAATTTATTTTATATTAAAACATATAGTTACTGAAGTGGAGGTCAATATACAGTTTAATGACCTTCATGTGAATTATTCACCTTATCTGTGCGTCTGTCAATAATTTCTTTTTGGGTATTTAAAACTGAATATTGATCTTCACTTCAGTAACTATTTATTTAATATACCGAAATTGTTTTCATTTGACGTCTGTCAGTGAAATAATTTTATTGTCTCGACCAGTACGTCATCTTCCATTTTGTGCTCATACAGTTTCAGTACGACTATTAGGCCTAGGTAGTTTGCCGTTTCATTCTACACATATTTGTTCTATTGGTTCTATTTGTGTCAGAATACTCTCAAGTTGACACATTATCGTCAAAGACGCTGGTGTTTAGACTGCTCGCTGACGAAATGCTGTCTTTTTAGTGATGACGCATGTGAGTAAAATAGTAAAAGAATATTTCAACAGTGTAAAAATAGGTAGTCATGGCAACACATTTATGGAACATAAATTTAAGCTCAAGGTTGCAACATATAAAGGAGATTTGAACATCACACGAGCTGTGTGGATAACATTGGCAAAATAAAGACAATTCACATCCCAAAAAAATAGACTGCATTACTCATTATAAGTGGAAATGGAAATATAATGGGAGTCTAATGTGTAACTGTGGGTAGGCTGGAAAAGAGATACATGTATTGTATTGTGACAGCTTGTCATTGGTGTACACATGTGATAAAATTACTCAGATTTTAAATTGGAAATTCCTAACAGCACATCAACTCATCACTGTTATGTGTTAAAGACCAGCAACGTTCTTACCAGGTAGCGTTATTAATTCATTGGAAATAATCTGCTCAATGTAGATATTAATTAGTAGTCACACAATGTGCAATAAATCTTCAAGTAAGTGTAACAATGGCTTTTAGGATCTGAACCACATAAACACCAGTGCCACGTTAGTATTTCTTGTTCACACATGTACTCAATGCCATTGTCTAAGAAACACTGGTGTTAACACCGTTCAATCTCATCCACTGAACAACAAGGATTATAACATCACTGCATTAGCTTTGTGACTGCCGTTTGGAATTAATAAATATTTCAGTTTATAAATAATTTAAAACACACATTTGTACCATATATTTGCTTTATTTGGAGCACACACTGAACAAAAATTGTGTTTATAGTATACTGGATCATTTACGGCATTCAGTTCTGGCATTTACGTATTGTAAACGTATATACTACATATAGAACAAATATGGTACATAATTTTATTCTATTCATTGTATTTTGTCAAGAACGCATCACGTAACCATCCTTCAGCTGTTAGTAAAAAGAATTACTGTAAAACAATTTATTTCCACTATTTTTTTCAAGCATTTTCATTAGGTTCACGAATTTGGCAGTTTTATTGTTATTTTACATGTTCACATCGATTTAATTTAGTGAATCTTAGCGAAAATAGCAAAATTAAAACACTGAATAATTAATACATCTACAGTAATACTGTAGATGTATTAATTATTCACAGTGTTTTAAGTGTTCTCCCCAGGAATTTAAACCACTGTGGCGGCCTAATTTGCATATCATTTGCATATCATTTACATAATAATGGGAATTGACCAAAGCACATTTACACCCACACAATAAACAACATATATTTTTAAAAACAAAGTGGCAGATATTTATTTGCTTCACACAGTGTTATAAACACTTATTTTGGGCACTTTTGTAATATTAATGAGCTCCGTCACAGGGAAAATATTTTTTTTTAGAGTCAAAATATTACGTTTCACAATTTAGAAAAGTTTGAATTTAAAAATGAAACATTCTCGAAATGCAAATGCTGCAGACTAAAAAGAAACAAATAAATTGTAAAAGGTTAAATGAAACTCATTTGAAACGTTTGAGCCAGGATTATGTTCACCACTTTCATGATCTTATTTACTACAAAATTCTCCTTCAAAAAATCGATCATGTAGTTATTTGGCGGATTGTTGGTTATTATTCCGACCATCAGCTCCTAACATTTACAGTAAATG